GTCCTCGAGGGGGCCTCAGCCCTTTGTCTCCCCAGTGACACCCCTGGACGTGGTCAAGGTCCGCCTGCAGGCCCAGCGTCCCTCGGGGACTGGCGGTGAGTGCCCGGGGTGTGGTGTGGGCAGCAGCCGCCCGAACCAGCGCGCCTGTGGTGACTCGGGTACCTTGTGTTCCAGAGTTGCCCCATCCCTCTCGGCTCTGGAGCGTCTCCTACACCAAATGTGAGTACCCTGCCCCCGCCACCCCGTCCCCCTGGCACCCGTCCATACCTCTGGCACCCGCCCTCCTGACGCCCTCCCCCGCCGCAGGGAAGTGCCTGCTGTACTGCAATGGCGTCCTCGAGCCCCTCTACCTGTGCCCCAATGGCACCCGCTGCGGCCCCTGGCTCCAGGACCCCACTCGCTTCACAGGCACTGTGGTGAGGAGTGGTGGGTGCTCCTGAGGGGCTCGGACTGGGTGGCTGTAGCGCAGGCTGCACTAGTGCTTGGGAAGAGCTCCTTGGAGGGCTCACCCCCTGCACCACAAGTCCCTATAAGGTTTGCCTGTGGTTCTTGGGAGGGAATCAGGCCTCCTGAATGCTAGAGCTCCACCCTAGCCTTGTGTGAGGTTTTGAAGGATGAATAGGAGCTCCCCTGGTGCTGTGTAAGGATGGAGGGTTCAGGCTGTGCTCAGCAGTCCCCAGGACAGCATCTGAGGGTGTCAGACCAGTGCCTAGCCTGGGCCAGCTGCTCACGGCCTTGTTCCTGTCCCTGTCCTCTGGCTGCTGCCCCACCAGGACGCCTTTGTGAAGATCGTGAGGCACGAGGGCCCCCGAACCCTGTGGAGCGGCCTCCCAGCCACTCTGTGAGTCTTCGTGCTGCTATCACTTCCCTGTTAGCCAGGTGGGAGGACACGGGGCACACTGAAGGCGTGGACACCCCTAGGGTCCCACTCACTCTGTGCCCACCACCAGGGTGATGACCGTGCCGGCCACTGCCATCTACTTCACGGCCTACGACCAGCTGAAGGCCTTCCTGCATCAGCAAGCCCTGGCCTCCGACCTGTGTGCGCCCATGCTGGCCGGCGCGCTGGCCCGCTGTGAGGACCCCAGGCCCTGTCCTCTGCCACCTGGGGGGGTGGGCACCACAGAGTGGGGCGTGTTCCCTGACCCTTCCCTGTCCCGCAGTGGGAACCGTGACTGTGGTCAGCCCCCTGGAGCTGCTGCGCACCAAGCTACAAGCCCAGCATGTGTCCTACCGCGAGCTTGGCGCCTGTGTCCGCACCGCAGTGGCACAGGGTGGCTGGCGCTCATTGTGGCTGGGCTGGGGCCCCACTGCGCTCCGTGACGTGCCCTTCTCAGGTGGGGACAGTGGGGACGGAGCCCTTGGGGGTGGGGCTAGGAAAGGCCCAGAGCCCCAGCAGCTCAGAGGTCTGAGCTGTCGCTGTCGTGGTGGCGGTGGCTTCTTGGAGCCAGGGTCTGCTGGTGCTCGACAACATGGAACAGTGTGGAGGTGGTGCTGAGCGCCAGGCGGCTGTCTCATGTGCGCCTACCCTCCAGCGCTGTACTGGTTCAACTATGAGCTGCTGAAGAGTTGGCTGTGTGGCCCCCACACCCGGGACCAGACGTCTGTGGGCATCAGCTTTGTGGCCGGCGGCATCTCAGGGACCGTGAGTCACTGGGGACAGGGAGGGGACCCCATGTGGCTTTGGAGCCACCAGAGCCTGATGGAGAGTCTGTCGTCCTGCAGGTGGCTGCCGCCCTCACCCTGCCCTTTGACGTAGTGAAGACACAACGGCAGGTGGCGCTGGGAGCTGTGGAGGCTGTGAGAGGTGAGCTGGGGCGAGTCGGGCACGCTGGGATCCCACTGACCGCAGCTTCCGTCCAACCTGACACGTTTCATTTGCAGTACTGCCACCCAGGGCTGACTCTGTCTGGCTGCTGCTTCGGAGGATCCGGGCCGAGTCGGGCACCAGGGGCCTCTTTGCAGGTGTGTGTGTGTCTGTGTGTCTGTGTGTCCTTTCCCACATGTGCATGGGCTTGTGCCCTGGCCTCCGCTGACCCTATGGCACTCCAGGCTTCCTCCCCAGGGTCATCAAGGCTGCGCCTTCCTGTGCCATCATGATCAGCACCTACGAGTTCGGCACAAGCTTCTTTCAGAGGCTTGACCGGGAGCCACTGCCGAGCCGCTGAGGGGCCGAGTGTTGGGCCAGTGCCTTCCCCGCCCACGCAGGGCTCCCCGCTTCCCAGGCCTTCCCGGGCCGGCCGTGCACCATCAAGCTCCAGACCCAACCTTCCCGCCCCTCCCACACCCCTGTATGTCTGCTGCCCCGGCCCCAGGAGCCCACAGCCCCCCATCCCTGCGTTTGCCTGTGCATTCCCTGTCCAAAGATGATGGTCAACTTCCGTGTGCAGTCCTGCCTCGCATTCCTGGGGGAGCCGGGGGGGGGCCCACGTGAAAAAACCCTCCTTGTAGCAGGTGTGATGGCACCCATCGGTCATCCCAGCACTCTGGGAGGCTGAGGCAGGAGGATCGCAACTCCAAGCCCAGCCTGGGCAACTTACAGACCCAGGGAGACCCCGTCTTGGAAATCGGGAAGGCTGGGGTGCAGCTCAGTGTGTGGCTTTGGGTTTAGTACCGTGTGCTCACAAGCCCTCCCTATCACAGACACTGTGGGGTCAGGTTGACCCAGGCTTGCAGGTGACGGGGGTGTCACCTGGCAGTGTGCTCCGTGAGGAGAGGTGGGACAGGAGGGAGGCTGCCCTCAGGTTAGGGCTGCTCATGGGGCCCAGGCAGCCTGTCAGACTATTGCTTTGGTTGTCATAGACCAGGCCACCCTCAGTCCTCTGGCTTTTATTTGCTGGACCCCAATGCCGCACGCATGGGTGGAGCAAGACTGGTTCCGGGTGTGGGGGCAGGGAGCAGCTAGAGGGGCCTGGCCAGGCCGTGGGGCCACTGGGAGAAGAGGTGTGGCCCCTGCCCACTGCTCTTCTTGGGGCAGGAAGCTGAGGCAGCGAGGTCTCACCCAGGGCGCCTTGGCTGGGCAGGTGGGCAGCATGGGGGCGGAGTTGCACAGGTGGCGCCGCCCACATTCAGCTGGGGCTCAGGGCCGGGCTGCCCTCAGGGCTGTCGCTCACCAGGCACTCGTTGGACTTGAAGCTCGCCAGGGACTTGCAGCTGGGGATGGAGGCCAGGGAGCCGCAGAGACCCAGCATGGAGGGCGTGGGGTCCTTCCCTGGGGAGAGAGCGGCGTGAGCTGGCTAGGGGCGGGTTGGCGCGAGGGGACCGTCCTCGCGGTCTACTCTTCGTTTATTAAAAGCACAGGGAGCATCGTTCCGGTCCAGGCACTGGGGACACAGGACAGACACAGGTCCCTGGCCTCGCAGAGCTCACAGTCTGGGGGAAGGACACGGTGATGAGCGTGGCGCGGCGGCCCGGTCCCGGGAGACCTGGGTTCAGGGGCAGCGCAGCTAGAGGGGGGCGGGGCGGGGCAACAAAGCGCATGCGCTGG